TTATAATCCAGGACATATTCTCTATACTAATGCCCTCAAAAATTGAAACACTTTACAAAAAATGTAGAGATTAATTATTTGAAAGAGGAAAATTACTACATGTAATTCTTTAATTACATTGTTTAATGAGTATTCAATTGATTTGAGTATAATAAGAATATAGATTGATATTATTTTTTAGTTTCATATTAAAGTGGGGCCTCAAAATTTACATTTTGAACAAGGGTCTCCAAATTCATTAGACGACCCTGAGAATGAGAAGCTCACTGTTAGAGGAGGGGAATATATAGCAATACTCAATCGGTCATTTTTGAGTGGTTTAAGGTGAAATTATCAAAGAGGACCATCTAATAATTTTGAGTGGTCATGTTTAAAATGTTAGTTTGAGGCCCCATATTTATAAATAAATGCAAATTACTCTATTTATATACTCATGTGTGTGTGTGTGTGTGTATATATATAGTAAAAAAACTACATGGTTTAGATATTTTAGCAATGACATTTGTTTGTAAAACAAACAATGCCATTTCTGATTTTTCAAATACTCGATATTATACTTCACATCATATTACTCTCATTAAACTATGCATACAATTAAGGGAAAATTGCACATTTCGTCCCCAATTATCTACCATATTGAAATCCCAGACCCGTGTTTCAGTTTTTTTTAAATGTCACCCCTAGTTATTAGAATAATTATAAATGTCACCCCTGCCATTATAAATATTACAAACCCCGGCAAACACCAGTTCTGTGATACCCTGAAAAATTTAAACAAAAATAAATTAAATAAATAAATAAATAAATAAAAAGGTAAAATAAAAGAAAAGAGAAAAAAAATATTAGATAAAATATACATGACAAAGTGAATAAAAATAAATTAAAGTGTTACAAGTGACACTTTTGTAACAAGTGATAAGTACACATATGACAAATAATAAAAGTAACATTTTAACAATTTTAATTTAAAGATATTAATAATAACATATACAAAATATACAAAAGTGTTAAAGGAGTTGACTTGTCAACAACCCCAATATATATAGATATACATAGACGTGCATAACAATAAGCCCTATAAAAGACACGTATATATATATATATATATATATATATATATATATATATATATATATATATATATATATATATATATATATATATATATATATATATATATATATATATATATATATATATATATAATACACGTATGTAATATTAGTAACAATAATATACCCTATAAAAGACCTGCCATAACCATAAGCATACCAAAGGTATACATGTGTACACGTTAGTAGGATTACCAATAATAGATGCATGATTCGATGCATACCCACGAGGCCAAGGACGAAATGCTTAGCCTACCCACATGCGCATGTCAAAAATGAAGCCAAAAACACACAGCTCACTCACGTAGGCTAGGACCTTCCTCTTTGTGTATAAATATCAGCGTTGAAAGTGATTCTCTACACACCCAAAACCTTCAGCCGAACTATATATATATATATATATATATATATATATATATATATATATATATATATATATATATATATATATATATGCAAACACACCCATATATATAAACCATTTTTTTACACCGTGGAATACCCAATCACTAAAGCTAGAAGAGGCCATATCAAAACCTCCGGCCAGTAAGATAGGAAGAGAACTAAGGTGACGGAGGTAGAAACGATTGTCAGAAGAGGGAGGGATAGCTAGCCGGAGTGATCGCCGGACCACCGCTCTACAACCTGGCCGGACTGAGACGTCAGCTGCCTCCGCCGTGTAACCCGTCCACCGTGAATAAGGTAAGCCGACGTCCTCTGCGCTTTCTTCATTTCCGGCGACTAGCTTAGGTGTAGAAGACAACCCATTCGATGTGTTTTTACGGTTGGACCTTTGTTTACTTTTAATGATATACTTACACTAATGAGATTGAAATAATACGCATGGGTATATAATAATAACATCCCTAATAACAATGATAAGAATGAAATCTGCAAAATGTATAATAAAGTATGAGATGGTAAATTAAACGGTGAAATTGAATTGGTTAGATTTATAGTAATCACTTGGATAAATTTGCCACTTTTAGTTGAGATAATTACACAATGTGAATTCGTAAGATTAATAGATTTATTAAGCAGATATAAACAATAAACAAATTGATCATTATTTTGGATCTGTTATTTTCAGATTAGCTTAAATTAAGTGTTATTAGACTGATTTATGGGTAAATTAATGAAATTCGAATATTTTATAAGTACTGAATTAAAGTATTAGTAAAAGATTGAATTACTGGTAATTAGTACATGACACAAATCATATTAGTCAGATATGATATTTGATGATAAGTAATAAGGACGAATTAAAATAGTAATAAAAGGCTGATTAAAAGTGATTAAGCTACTACTAAGTAATAAATGATTATAAATTCGAATAATTGAAGTGATACATTATAAAATAAGAAATCATTAAAGTATAATAAGGCTAGGAAATCGTGATAATATTACTGGATTAAAGTAGGTCAAATTAATGAGTAAAGATTCGGTTATCTTAATTGTATTAAACTAAATTAATAATAATACGTCAACACATTAAAGGTTGGTTAAACTGGTTACTGATTAATAAGTAAGGTGGATGTTAGATTAAGAAATAAAGTGGTAAGATTAGTAAAAGTGACTAATTGATAATTAAGGAATAAATAACTAATAAAAATTCGAATGAAAATAAAAAGGGGAAATCGGAACGATAATTAAGTATAGAATAAATGACTAATTCTATCATCTTAATTAAAAAGGTGATTTCTAGGGACCGGAATAGAGGAAGAGAAATAGGAGCATTGGATTCGAGGTAAGTCACATTGCAACCAAAATGCATTTTTACCTCGTATATATTGTATGTATGAGATATGAAATTTGTACTATCTGATTATTTGTTGAGCAATTTATGAATATGTGATGCTTTGTTGAATGTTGAATAACTTTGGGGAAATTACGTGTGTAGTAATCCCTGAATTTTTGGAAAATAATAAAGATAAAATGAACCTTTCAATGTAAGGGCATCACGGGAGAAATCCGGGATGTCGGTGTTCTCCACGACCTTGACTGTGGAGAGTGATTAGGACTGCTATTACTTGTTGGGATTTGGTGTCCACGACCTTGACTGTGGAGATTGGTTAAAGTGGTTGTTTTATTGAAATTCAAATTCGGGCAAAAGACCCTGTTATTCAGTAGTAGCAGTAACCTAGTCACTTATATAGGGTAATCCCTTTTTGGTGGAGTAGGGGGACGTTGACGTCCGAACTACTTGGACTTTTTACTACTCGGAGGGCTTGGAATCCCTTTTTGAGGGTGTGCACACTTAAGGTAGAGGTTCAGTTTCCTCAGGTTAGAAGTGGTACCGGCAAAAGTCCCGGGGTGGCCGTACATAACAACGGACCATCGGGCTCAATTTAATGTTGAGCACCGCCCTTCAAATGTATTAGGAGGTTGGTACAACTATATTTTAAAACATTACTAAAAGAAAATATTTTATTTAATGAAAGTGAGGATCATCCATTTTTGAAAGAGGTATACCATGAACTTTATCTCTTAAACTATTTTTTTTGTATATATGGTATACAAATTATTATTTTCACCAAACCTATTATTTTACGGGGTTGGGTGGGACTTACTTAGCTCTAAAGCTAATTTTTGTGTTATTTGTTTCTTTTCTTTCTCTATAATTACAGATGATATTGCTTTGGATGATGTGCTTGGTTAGAGACTTGAGAGCGTCCATTAGAAGATACTCTAGCAAGACTTTTATTTAAATTTAAGAACATCACTCTGGATCACTTTTGTTATTTTTACGTCGCACGTGTTATTAAGTACATTGGTTTTATTTGCCTGTGCACTTAGCCATGTTTTGCTAAGTGTGGCGGTAACACTCTAAATTTTCATTGTTAAAGACTTCCGCTGAAATTGTCTTAATAAAGTTATCATTTTATTATAAAATTTCCAAGCTATTTGGGTGGGAAAATTTGGGGTGTTACAAGTTGGTATCAGAGACCATAGGTTTTCTGAAAGGGTTAGGACACGAGGTAATAGGTCGTAGGGAGGAATTCTGTCTACAAGACGATAAGAGTCTGAGCTGGTTGGTGCATAATTGAGCCTTTGCGCTCGTCCAACTAACTGGGAATTTCTCCTTGTGCTGAAACTTCGTTGTTCGAAATCCTTAAATAAAACCTTTGGAATCGTACCCTCAAATGAGGATTTTCAAAATATTTTGATTAAGAAAAATAAGATAGCTAGAAAATGGCCTTTAGGAACGTGGTGAGGAACTTGTGAGTATTAGTTTTATGTTATATATATAGTATGTTAAAAGTTGAGAATTGTGGGCCCATATGTGAAATGGGAACCCCAAGCGTTAGAGGGAATGCCTCATAAGGCAAAATTCCAAAGTGGCCAAGGTATGTAAATTATGTGCAAAAATGTTGTGATATGAAATGTGAATCCTATCTGTGAATATTTACACTTGTGTGATGAAATAATTTGATAGCCTATGGAATCCTTAGTTCTAGGATCCTTAGGGAAAGTAGGAAGAGTTTTTTTTTAATTCAAGTTATTACCAATATAGAGACACCATGCCACCGAGGAGAGATCCGAATGTCGTCCCTACCAATGCTGAGCTGGCGCAAGCCCTCACGCAGCTCGCCCAGACAGTCAATGCGGCATTCCTTCGGAACCAACCCAACAACGGCAATAACATGGAAAGCCGTGTAGCGGCACGAAACCCGCCGAACTTCCTTGGTCAAGAGGATCCCGTCCTTCTCGAGAATTGGATACGCACCTTCGACAAGCTGTTTGCCGCGATCAATTGCCCGGCAGATCAACGAATTAACATTGCTGTTTATTATCTGCATGAAGAAGCAGATAAATGGTGGGTTCATGTGGGACCAAGGATGAGCGCACAACCGGACTTCACTTGGGATCAGTTCAAGTGTGCACTGCGAAAAAGATTTTACCCGCCACACGTGCAAGCAGAAAATCGTGACAAGTTCCTACACTTGAAGCAGGGGGAAATGACGGTGCAAGAGTATCACAGTCAATTTGTCACACTAGCAGAATTTGCAACATCACTTGTGCCCGATGAGGAGAGTAAGATCGAGAAGTTCATCGGAGGACTGATGTGACACCGCACCCGAACGTCCTTGAAAATTCGATTTAAAAATTCAAAAGTGATGTATTGAATTTCCAATTTCAAAACAATGGGAGAAACGATTAATATTTTACGAAGTACATGATTGAATATTGTATTGTTCAAACCCGCATTCTTTTGTAATTTTCATCGTGTAAATTATTGGGATGAGCCTACACATATTGGAGATCAATAATGTGATTTAGGAAGTTGACTTGTTCTAAATAAATTAGGATGAGTACAAAAAGACATCTTTGACAAAGATAAAACAATAGGACCCATCTTCCCATTTTTGGAAGTATTGGTAGATATTTTGGACCCCAAATTTAATGGGATCAATTGGGAACCACTCCACATGGTATTAGTACCTGCAAAACAAATAAAAATGGGTTAGGAGACTTACCTTGGCCGGCCATTATGGAGAAGAGCTGCACATGACCTGATAAGAATCAAAGTTTGGGGCCACCACTCTTATTTTCGCACAAATTGGTGTGCTGTTTGTCTCCTCTCATTATAGGAGCTATCCTCAACCAAATAACGTGTATGAGGTGTCCTTGGATAGCCTTTGAAGTCTATTATCTCAATTGAGTGGTCTTTGTTCGAGGAGAGAAGGCTTATCTTGCAAAAATCGAGCTGGAACGAGCAAAGGTCTGTGAACTCGAGCTGTGAGAGTGCTGAGACTGTTTGGTCGATATCTCGAGTTTTACAAGTCCAATTAAGGCGTGTGAGATACCCACAGAAAGCTCTCAAGACGAGGAATCCGTGAAGGTCTGGTTTGCAGGAATCGGAGTTGTGGAAGGCTTCCAAATCGTCCGAGCAAAACACAACCTCGCAGGAGAGGATTTAATCTTCTAAAGTGAGTTTTAACCCCAAAGCTTTACTTTTCATTCTCCAAATGATATGAACGATTGGTGAGACTATTATACACTAATCCAAGTGTATAATATGTCCCTAAAAAGTTATCTTATTGATGTAAAGGTTAGATACTAACCTAGATGCAAATATTGGAAAACTAGGAATCGAGTTAGCCGGAAAACACCCGTTCTAGGGGCTGTTTTCGTATCAACGATTAAGGGTTGAACTAGCACTTTGAGGAGGCTGTTTAACACTCATATTTGAGCAAGGAATCAGTCCCAAATCCACCTTGACCAAAGATTTGACCATTGGACCAAGAAGGGAAAGTTTAAAGCTCAATTGAGGTGAGGATTGACATCTAATTGCTTACAACTTGTAGGTTAAGCATGAGATTACCTAAATGCTTAAATCATGATTTTTCATGGATTATGATGATTATATATAGATGAAATATTGATATAGTTGCCAAAGAATGAAATTTGAAATGATTTGAGAAGGTATGAATAATATGAGATTAAATGAGTATAAATGAACTATTTGTGAAAATGGGCATTTTTCTCATGTATGAATTATGTGGATACATAAATGAATATTTGTGTATTGAGAATGAATGTTTAAGTTGCTGCTACATAAGTATAAATATGTAGAGAATTACAAATAACAAGGATAATGGTTTGATAACAATAATCTTAATAGTATTGAAATACTAGTTAATGATTATTGGGATTTATTGATTAAATTGATCCTAGGGATTGGATTGTATGAAAGGTGCTTGAATATAGTTCAAGTGTATATAATAACTTAGTATGGAACTAAGGTTAAGTTATGGGAAGTCTTTAAGGATGACCCATGGTAGTTTAATGATATGTCAATTCTAGGCATAGGGATTGCTTGAGAATTGGACCTTAATGCATGGTGATGTGATAGAGCCGAGCTCTAGAATGCATGTAAGGGTAGACTTGGAGTCTATGTATTGTATAGCTAGAGCCGAGCTCTAGGACTTGCGTGGTGATGTGGTAGAGCCGAGCTCTAGAACGCAAGGTAAGGAAATTGACCCGAGGTATATGAATTGTATGGTGATGTGGTAGAGCCGAGCTCTAGAATACAATGTCATGTACTAGGGTTGGACTCTAGGAGTTGTCGTGGCTTATAGCCACGGGGTTGGGAATGGTGATTTCCAAATGAAAACGGGCCCACGGGCCGACTACTTGACTTTTATATAAAGTAAGTATATTTTTAAACGGGGTAACTTAGGGTTACAATCATAATGTACTATCACCCTACTTGAGGGTCTTGTGTTTGAAATACTTGTTGTATATCTATTAGATGCCTGCCACACCAGTACTTTATAGCCGTATAGAGTACTGACCCCTTCGGGGGCGTCCCACCACCATTTCAGGTTGAGACTAGAGCTTGCTTCCTGTGCTCGTTGATCGAGTGATTCCTTGGAGAGAAGACTTGGTTCGTGCTTCCTCCATTCTGTTTTTAAATAATATTAAACTTGCTCATGGATATTTTACTTTAGAGCCTGCGTGCTCATGTTTGCCCTGTGTGGCCCTTTTGTTTTAAACAATGTTTTCCGCTGCGTATTCAATTGTTTATTATGTATGTTTATGGATGACTTATGTGTGAATGATATTCATGACGCCTTGTATAATATGAATGTGTTGGACTGCGGTTGACTATTCGTATTGTACGGCGGGTTGTTGACGTGTCCGGGGAGGTCCGGGGCGTGACAATTAAGTTGGTATCAGAGCCTTAGTCCATAAACTTCATAATGAAGTCTCAAAATTCTCTTTTTGAAAAGATTTTGAAAACCATGAGCATAGGAGTTTTGTACTTGGAGAGCTTTTGGTACTTGGGTTGCAAGGTCTCTAATTGTTAAGATGGTACCCTTAGCAATTGGTATGGCGGTGACTCGAGCCAAAATGTGTCTTAAGTACATATCCGTCAATTGACATTTGATACGAGTCTAACGACTCTTTCCAAATTTCTTTCAGAAATGGACCGTGGTGGCAAGGTAACTAGGAGGAACCCTTTGGGCCGTGCACCCGAGGAGACTGGGCAAGGCAGTCGTAGGACCTCTAGGGCATCTAGAGGAGCGGGCCGTGGAGGCCAATCACGGACCGTGAGTGACGGTCATGTGAGCACCGAAAGTGACAGCTACTGGTCCTATGAGGACTCGACCTATCGGCCGGAAACAGAGCCGGTTGAAACCCCTTATGAAGGGGATGATGATGATGTAAGTGATGAGGAGGACAACGGCTCCTTAGCGCGGATTGAGGCACTACTCCAACAATATCACCGTGAGCGTGAAGAGAGGAGGGAACGCCGAAGGCGCCGGGCTGGGCAACCTTCGGGCATGGCTTCACGAGGAGGAAGTCATGGTGCATCTAGAGTCCATGTGGAACCACGTGGAGGCCAAAATGATGGAGGTCCAACCATAAGGATCTCCAAATACATCAAAGAAGCAAGAGATTTGGGGTGCAAACCCTTTGATGGAGCAGGGGACATTTCAGTGGCAGCACAATGGATCAAGAGGCTAAATGAAGCGGCCCTTGACATGCAAATCGCGTCGAATCTCAAACTGAGAATTGCGGTAAGATTGCTCGAGGGGATGGCATCCAAGTGGTGGGATGGAACCAAGAACAAGTACGGTGAGACCGTCGTTTGGGAGGACTTCCAACGGGAGTTCTTTGCCCAATACTATTCTGATTTCGAGGTGAATAAGAAGGTGAGGGAATACACCCTCCTAACCCAAGGGGGTAACATGTCAGTGAAGGAGCTTGAGTACAAGTTCCGGGATCTCGCCGACTACATACCGGAGTATGCTTGTGACGAGAACCGCATGGTGAACCACTTTTGGGACGCTCTTGACTTGGAGATACGTGATAGGGCAACGCAATTGCCTAATATGACTTTCGCCCAAGTGGTTGAACAAGCATTGAAAGGGGAGAAACAGTGGGAGGAACGGAAGAAGAGAGACGCCGAGGAGGCGAAAAAGAGAAAATGGGAGAGTCATGGCTCCCAAGGTTCCAACAAAAAGGGGAACCATGGAGGAGGATCTTTCCGGGCACCACCGCCACCGTCTAGGGGGAACCAAGGCCCGAGTGGGCAAGGCTCGAGGTCACAAACCTCGGTGGTAACTCGTTGCAACAATTGCAAGAAGAACCACTCCGGTAAATGTCGCGACCCCCCTAGATGCTTTCAATGTGGGGATGCCGGGCATTTGAAGGCACATTGTCCACAACTGGGCGGGGCAAGGACATCGGGACCAAGCAGTGGCCCGACGGGTACACGGAGTCAGACCGGGGCCTCTCAAGCAAGCAGAGGACAAGGGGGAGCAAGCGCGAGTAACGCGCCGTCCGTGAATCAAGGAAGGACGCAAGCTAGAGTCTACGCAATGACCGAGGCTGATGCTCGGGCTAATCCCGACTCCGTCGCAGGTAATACACTTATTCGGGTCATTTCTAGGCTTATTTTGATCATATACGTCGTTGGGATTGAGTACGGGCCACCCCGGGGTCAAACTGGGTGAGTTAGGCCGAATCGGGCTGGAAACAGCCACTGCTGGCCAGGCACGCCCGAAGGCACGCCGTGCCTGGAATCGTGCCTGGAAGGCAGTGGCACCCGAAGGAAAGAAAAAAAAAAAAAAAAAATTTGGGCCAGGCACGGCCGCAGGCACGCCGTGCCTGGCGTCGTGCCTGGGAGGCAGTAGCGCCCAGGGCTTTTTCCCAAGCCAGGCACGACCGTGCCTACCCCAGGCACGCCGTGCCTGGCACCCAGATTGCCGAAACCTGATTTTTTCGCACCGTTTTGCGACGTTAAGGCCTCTTCTTGATCTCTAACGTGCGTGTGAACATTGCAACCTTCTATAAATGAGTAGGGAGGATAGGAAAGATGTCTTACATGGTTCATGAATGTAGGGACACTAAAGATTAACGGGAAGGATGCACGAATCCTTATCGATACCGGAGCGCAACGTTCATTCGTGAGTGAGGCGTTTGCCGAGAGCTTAGAGATGCAATCAATACCAATGACACAAACCTTAGTGGTATCAACCCCACTAGGGGAAGACGTTGAAAGAAACAATTACTATCCATCTTGTATGGTGGAAATCGGTGGTCAAACCTTGACGTGTGATTTCGTACCGCTGAGTATGATGGAGTTCGATGCAATCCTAGGGATGGATTGGCTAGAAAAGCATCATGCTAGGGTAGATTGCTACACAAAGGTGTTGGAACTCGAAGGCACGCATGGGGACACCCTACGCTTCGAGGGGGACCGCGGCAAATCAAATAGTTGTATCATATCCGCCGTGAGAGCGAGAAATATGATGAGGAAGGGATGTCACGCATATCTAGCATACGTGGTTGACAAAACCAAAGAGGGAACGAACATCGATGATGTGAGGGTGGTTTGTAAGTATCCGGATGTCTTCCCTAAAGACCTACCGGGGCTTCCACCTGACAGGGAGATTGAATTTGTGATCGAGGTCGAGCCTGGTACCAAACCAATCTCCATACCGCCATACCGGATGGCACCCGCTGAACTTAACGAGTTAAAAACCCAATTGCAAGAGCTTTTGGATAACGGTTTCATTAGACCAAGCCACTCCCCGTGGGGAGCACCGGTTCTTTTTGTGAAAAAGAAAGATGGGACACTTCGGATGTGCATTGACTATCGTCAACTGAACAAGGTCACAATCAAGAATAGGTATCCGTTGCCTAGGATTGATGACTTGTTTGATCAACTACGAGGAGCAACCGTGTTTTCGAAGATTGACTTAAGGTCGGGGTACCATCAATTGAAGATTAAGGAAGATGACATACCAAAGAGTGCTTTCCGCACAAGGTATGGGCATTTTGAGTTCCTTGTTATGTCGTTTGGGTTAACAAACGCCCCGGCGGCATTCATGGACTTGATGAACCGAGTATTTCATAAATACTTGGATCGATTCGTGATTGTGTTCATAGATGACATCTTGATTTACTCAAAGAGTGAAGAAGAGCATGAGGAGCACTTGATACTTGTTCTTGAAACACTACGGGAGAAGCAACTCTATGCCAAATTTTCTAAATGTGAATTTTGGCTAAAGGAGATTGGCTTCCTCGGGCACGTGGTTTCGGGATCGGGGATTGCTGTTGATAACAAGAAGATAGAAGCCATCACTGAATGGGAGAGGCCAAAGAACGTCAAGGAAATTCGTAGTTTCCTTGGATTGGCAGGCTACTATAGAAAGTTCGTGGAAAAGTTCTCTGTTTTGGCATCGCCATTGACGAAGCTCACTCGTAAAGGAGCTAAGTTTGTATGGGATGACAAATGTGAGAAAGGGTTCATGGAACTAAAGAAGAGATTGACTGAGGCACCGGTACTTGCATTACCCAAACAAGGTGTGGGGTACGATGTCTATAGCGATGCGAGCATCCAAGGGCTCGGATGTGTACTGATGCAGAATGGGAGGGTAATCGCCTATGCTTCACGACAATTGAAGAAGCATGAGGTGAATTATCCTACTCATGATTTGGAGCTCGGGGCAGTGGTATTTGCACTGAAGATATGGAGACATTATCTCTACGGGGAGACATGTCACATATACACTGATCACAAGAGCTTGAAGTACGTGTTTACTCAGAAAGAGCTAAACATGAGACAGAGACGGTGGATGGAGCTGATAAAAGACTACCATCTGGTGATAGAGTATCACCCAGGCAAGGCAAACGTGGTGGCAGATGCTTTGAGCCGGAAGAGCTCGTCTGGGGCATTGATAACTAATTTGAGGGCATTAAGAGCCCAACTGGAGGTAACCAGCGATGGTGCCTTATTGGCACGATTTGAGGTGAGACCCACTTTACTTGATGAGATCAAGAAGGGTCAGGAAGCCGACGAAGAACTTATGAAGGTCCGGGAACGCATGCAAGCGGGGCCGGTGGAGGATTTCAGGGAAAGAGATGATGGTCTCTTGTTATTTCGTGACCGAGTGTGTGTACCGTCAGATGATGAGCTCCGAAAGTCCATCTTAGAGGAGGCTCATTCATCGGCTTATGCCATGCACCCGGGGGGCACGAAAATGTACCGTGATTTGAAGGAAAGTTACTGGTGGTCTGGAATGAAGAGGGAAATAGCCGAGTACATCAGTCGGTGCCTTACTTGTCAACAAGTTAAGGCAGAACATCAGCACCCAGCAGGCTTATTGCAACCACTCTCCATCCCTGAATGGAAGTGGGAGCACGTGACTATGGATTTCGTGGTAGGCTTACCACGGACTATCAGGAACTATGACGCGGTTTGGGTCGTTGTGGATAGGCTCACAAAGAGTGCACACTTCTTGCCTATCAACACTACCTACCCACTTGAGAGGTTAGCCAAATTGTATACGGATGAGATCGTGAGGCTGCATGGGGTCCCGGTGACCATTGTATCTGATAGAGACCCACGATTCACATCACGTTTTTGGCCGAAATTCCAGGAGTCTATGGGAACGAAGTTGAAGTTCAGCACTGCTTTCCATCCACAGACGGATGGGCAGTCTGAAAGGGTTATTCAGATCCTAGAAGACATGCTGAGGGCTTGTGCATTGGAGTTCCAGGGAAGTTGGGACAACCACTTAGCACTTGTGGAGTTTGCCTATAACAACAGTTATCAGGCAAGCATCGGCATGCCTCCATACGAGGCATTGTATGGGAGGAGGTGCCGTACACCGTTATGCTGGGACGAGGTTGGCATGGCCAAACTCGAGGGTACTGAGTTGGTTGAGGTCACCAAATCAAAGGTGAAGTTGATTCGAGAGAGACTCAAGGCGGCTCAGGATAGACAAAAGAGTTATGCAGATAAGCGTCGAAGAACCTTAGAGTTTAAGGTTGATGACGAGGTATTCTTGAAAGTTTCTCCTTGGAAAGGGATCATTCGGTTCCAAACCCGAGGAAAACTTAACCCACGATATATAGGTCCATTCAGAATTATAGAGAGGATTGGGGCCGTTGCATATCGTCTACAGTTGACTCCTGAGTTAGAGAAGATACATAATGTGTTTCATGTATCCATGCTTAAGAAGTATGTGCATGATCCCTCTCACGTACTAGAGAAGCCACCTGTAGAGGTACGTGAGGATTTGAACTACGCTGTTCAACCTATCAAGGTCACCGATAGAAAGGTGAAGAAGCTGAGGAGCAAAGAAGTCCCAATGGTTAAAGTCCTGTGGAAGAGCGATCGGGTCGAGGAAGAGACATGGGAAACGGAGGCTTTGATGAGGAAGCAGTATGCTTTCCTATTCGAGTAGAGCTGTGAATTTCGGGGACGAAATTCCTGTTAAGGGGGGGTGAACTTGTGACACCGCACCCGAACGTCCTTGAAAATTCGATTTAAAAATTCAAAAGTGATGTATTGAATTTCCAATTTCAAAACAATGGGAGAAACGATTAATATTTTACGAAGTACATGATTGAATATTGTATTGTTCAAACCCGCATTCTTTTGTAATTTTCATCGTGTAAATTATTGGGATGAGCCTACACATATTGGAGATCAATAATGTGATTTAGGAAGTTGACTTGTTCTAAATAAATTAGGATGAGTACAAAAAGACATCTTTGACAAAGATAAAACAATAGGACCCATCTTCCCATTTTTGGAAGTATTGGTAGATATTTTGGACCCCAAATTTAATGGGATCAATTGGGAACCACTCCACATGGTATTAGTACCTGCAAAACAAATAAAAATGGGTTAGGAGACTTACCTTGGCCGGCCATTATGGAGAAGAGCTGCACATGACCTGATAAGAATCAAAGTTTGGGGCCACCACTCTTATTTTCGCACAAATTGGTGTGCTGTTTGTCTCCTCTCATTATAGGAGCTATCCTCACCCAAATAACGTGTATGAGGTGTCCTTGGATAGCCTTTGAAGTCTATTATCTCAATTGAGTGGTCTTTGTTCGAGGAGAGAAGGCTTATCTTGCAAAAATCGAGCTGGAACGAGCAAAGGTCTGTGAACTCGAGCTGTGAGAGTGCTGAGACTGTTTGGTCGATATCTCGAGTTTTACAAGTCCAATTAAGGCGTGTGAGATACCCACAGAAAGCTCTCAAGACGAGGAATCCGTGAAGGTCTGGTTTGCAGGAATCGGAGTTGTGGAAGGCTTCCAAATCGTCCGAGCAAAACACAACCTCGCAGGAGAGGATTTAATCTTCTAAAGTGAGTTTTAACCCCAAAGCTTTACTTTTCATTCTCCAAATGATATGAACGATTGGTGAGACTATTATACACTAATCCAAGTGTATAATATGTCCCTAAAAAGTTATCTTATTGATGTAAAGGTTAGATACTAACCTAGATGCAAATATTGGAAAACTAGGAATCGAGTTAGCCGGAAAACACCCGTTCTAGGGGCTGTTTTCGTATCAACGATTAAGGGTTGAACTAGCACTTTGAGGAGGCTGTTTAACACTCATATTTGAGCAAGGAATCAGTCCCAAATCCACCTTGACCAAAGATTTGACCATTGGACCAAGAAGGGAAAGTTTAAAGCTCAATTGAGGTGAGGATTGACATCTAATTGCTTACAACTTGTAGGTTAAGCATGAGATTACCTAAATGCTTAAATCATGATTTTTCATGGATTATGATGATTATATATAGATGAAATATTGATATAGTTGCCAAAGAATGAAATTTGAAATGATTTGAGAAGGTATGAATAATATGAGATTAAATGAGTATAAATGAACTATTTGTGAAAATGGGCATTTTTCTCATGTATGAATTATGTGGATACATAAATGAATATTTGTGTATTGAGAATGAATGTTTAAGTTGCTGCTACATAAGTATAAATATGTAGAGAATTACAAATAACAAGGATAATGGTTTGATAACAATAATCTTAATAGTATTGAAATACTAGTTAATGATTATTGGGATTTATTGATTAAATTGATCCTAGGGATTGGATTGTATGAAAGGTGCTTGAATATAGTTCAAGTGTATATAATAACTTAGTATGGAACTAAGGTTAAGTTATGGGAAGTCTTTAAGGATGACCCATGGTAGTTTAATGATATGTCAATTCTAGGCATAGGGATTGCTTGAGAATTGGACCTTAATGCATGGTGATGTGATAGAGCCGAGCTCTAGAATGCATGTAAGGGTAGACTTGGAGTCTATGTATTGTATAGCTAGAGCCGAGCTCTAGGACTTGCGTGGTGATGTGGTAGAGCCGAGCTCTAGAACGCAAGGTAAGGAAATTGACCCGAGGTATATGAATTGTATGGTGATGTGGTAGAGCCGAGCTCTAGAATACAATGTCATGTACTAGGGTTGGACTCTAGGAGTTGTCGTGGCTTATAGCCACGGGGTTGGGAATGGTGATTTCCAAATGAAAACGGGCCCACGGGCCGACTACTTGACTTTTATATAAAGTAAGTATATTTTTAAACGGGGTAACTTAGGGTTACAATCATAATGTACTATCACCCTACTTGAGGGTCTTGTGTTTGAAATACTTGTTGTATATCTATTAGATGCCTGCCACACCAGTACTTTATAGCCGTATAGAGTACTGACCCCTTCGGGGGCGTCCCACCACCATTTCAGGTTGAGACTAGAGCTTGCTTCCTGTGCTCGTTGATCGAGTGATTCCTTGGAGAGAAGACTTGGTTCGTGCTTCCTCCATTCTGTTTTTAAATAATATTAAACTTGCTCATGGATATTTTACTTTAGAGCCTGCGTGCTCATGTTTGCCCTGTGTGGCCCTTTTGTTTTAAACAATGTTTTCCGCTGCGTATTCAATTGTTTATTATGTATGTTTATGGATGACTTATGTGTGAATGATATTCATGACGCCTTGTATAATATGAATGTGTTGGACTGCGGTTGACTATTCGTATTGTACGGCGGGTTGTTGACGTGTCCGGGGAGGTCCGGGGCGTGACAACTGAACTATGACACACAGAAGATGATGACTGTGCAAGAATGGCAAACGTTGGATGATGCCTATTACAAAGCTGCGAAGCATTATCGGGTAATACAACTCCAGCGAGAAGCCCACAAGAAAATCCGGAAGAACGAGGAGGAGAATAAGGCAAGGGAGAAGAGGCTCAAAACTCATCAGCAGGAACAACAACCCACGTGGAGGAGAGAGAATCGTCCACAAGATGGAAGGAGATTCCCCGGGCAGGGTCCGAGGCAAGATCAACGATATGTGCCAAGAGACAGGCACTACCATTGCAAGTTGTGCCAACGAGATCACCCTGGTGTTGACTGTGATGGAAAAGTGGTGAGCTGTTTCACTTGCGAAAAAAGGGGACATCGGGCATTCGAATGCCTAAACAAAGAAAAGGCTGGTCATCAAAACCAGGGACCTAACCGTGGAGGCGGTAATCAAGGTGGGAACAGGCAAGGAGCTGAAAACCAGGGCAACAACAACCCGGGAAATCAAGCACAAAACATCAATCGGGGCCAGAATCAGAACCAAGGAGGGGGCAACAACAAAAACAACAACGCTCCCAATCAGGGCCGGATTTATGTAATGAATCAGGCTCAGGCCCGCGCACATGATGTGGTTTCAGGTATCATTCATGTTAATACCACTCCTGCTTACGTTCTATTTGATTCTGGTGCTTCTCACAGTTTTATCTCTTCTAAATTCGTTGAGAAGTTAAAGATAGAACCTGCAGCTAACATAGAGTTGAATGTGAAAACAGCAAACAATAGTGTTGTAGCCTGTAGAAATGTATACATAAATGTACCCATAGTTATAGCCGACGTCAGCCTACCTGGGGATTTGGTGCAATTCAACCTCGAAGACATTGACGTGGTGCTGGGCATGGATTGGCTTGGGAGATACAAGGCGAAGATCTTATGCAATGAGCAGAAGGTGGCCATGAAGAGCCCATGTGGGAAGCGGGTATCTTTCAAGGCAATGGTGGACAAACCCGGAGCCAAGTTGATGACATTGCGGCAGATGAGGAAGTACATCCGGAAGGGATGCGAGGCATACCTATGCATGATGAGAGACAACCATGAAGAAGAGCAGACAATTGATCAAATTCCGGTGGTCAATGAATTTCCTGATGTGTTTCCGGAAGAGATTCCGGGGATGCCTCCGGAGAGGGAAGTTGAATTCTCCATTGACTTAATGCTTGGGACTACACCAATCTCCAAGGCACCATACAGGATGGCTCCGAAGGAGATGCAAGAATTGAAAGAGCAACTCGAAGAACTACTCGAGAAAGGCTACATCAGGCCGAGTGTCTCACCATGGGGCGCTCCGGTTCTGTTTGTCAAGAAGAAAGACGGTAGCTTGAGGTTATGTATTGACTACCGAGAGCTGAACAGTGTTACTATCAAGAACCGATATCCTTTACCCCGCATCGACGACCTGTTCGATCAACTGAAGGGTGCGGGCATATTTTCCAAGATTGACCTTCGATCCGGCTACCACCAAGTTAGGATAGCGGAGAAGGATATACCAAAGACCGCATTTCGTACAAGGTATGGGCACTATGAGTTCACTGTGATGCCGTTTGGTTTAACCAACGCACCAGCGGTGTTCATGGATCTAATGAACCGTGTATTCCGCCCATTTCTTGATACATTTGTGGTGGTATTCATTGACGATATCTTGGTGTACTCGAAGAACAAGAAGGATCATGAAGAACATCTTAGGGTTGTTTTACAAACTTTGAGAGAGCATCAACTTTATGCCAAGCTTTCCAAGTGTGACTTTTGGAAAGACCGAGTAGCATTTCTGGGTCACATCATCACTCGAGACGGAGTGTCTGTGGACCCATCAAAGATCGAAGCAGTAACCGAGTGGCGAGCACCTACCACTGTCACCGAAGTGCGGAGTTTTCTTGGGTTAGCAGGCTATTATCGGAGATTTGTCAAAGATTTCTCCAAGATAGCTAGACCGTTAACCAATCTGATGAAGAAAACCACAAAGTTCCATTGGACGGATAATTGTGAGAGAGCCTTTGAGGAGCTTAAGAAAAGACTGACAACTGCACCAGTACTAACACTTCCTTCGGGAACTGATGGATTTGAAATCTATTGCGATGCATCCAAGAATGGACTGGGCTGCGTGCTGATGCAAAATGGGAAGGTAGTAGCTTATGCATCCCGACAACTAAGGGTGCATGAGGTTAACTACCCAACCCACGACCTCGAGTTAGCAGCAGTAATGTTTGCTTTGAAGATATGGAGACACTACTTGTACGGACCACCGTGCAAGATATACACCGATCACAAAAGCCGTAAGTACATTTTCACCCAAAAAGAGCTCAATATGCGACAACGGAGGTGGCTAGAGCTAGTCAAAGACTATGATCTTGAAATTCAGTACCATGAAGGGAAAGCCAATGTTGTAGCAGATGCCTTAAGCAGGAAGGCGGAACATAGCAGCAGAGCAATGTGGATACTTCCAGAAGAGCTGTTCCGGGAATTCCAACGACTAGACTTGGAGGTGAAGGAGTGCGATGAAGTGGAGAATGAAATCCGGTTATACGCAATGACCATTTTACCCTCTATCTTCGATGAAATCAAAGCTGGTCAACCGGGAGATGTGAAGCTTGAACGAGTCAAGGCCGGGATGAAGAATGGGATCAACGGACCATTTCAGCTGCATGAAGACGGGAGTATCCGCTATAAGGGTAGGTGGTGTGTTCCGGTGAAATGTGAGCACATTAAAAAGCAAATCATGGAAGAAGGACACAACACACCCTATTCGGTACACCCGGGAGGAGACAAATTGTATAAAGATCTTAAGCAAAACTTCTGGTGGCCAAGAATGAAGAATGAGGTGGCAGAGTTCGTGGCTCGATGCTTAAACTGTCAAAAAGTGAAAGCTGAGAGATGCAAACCCAAGGGACTTGTGCAACCCTTGGAGGTACCAACGTGGAAGTGGGACTCAATCTCGATGGACTTTGTCGGGGGATTACCTTTAACAAAGTCCAGGAAGGATAAGATTTGGGTTATTGTTGATAGACTGACCAAGACCGCTAGGTTCATTCCCATGAATGAAACTTGGAGCATGGATAAGCTGGCGAAAGCATACATCAGGCATGTGGTCAAGTATCACGGTGTACCCCGAGATATTGTATCTGATAGAGATTCACGATTCTTATCCCAATTCTGGAAGGAATTACAAACGGCTATGGGAACAAAATTGAAGTTAAGTACCGCTTTCCATCCAACCACGGACGGACAGACCGAAAGAACAATCCAAACATTGGAAGACATGTTGAGGGCATGTGTTCTTGACTTGCAAGGATCATGGGATGAACACCTAGACTTGATAGAGTTTTCGTACAATAACAGTTACCATACTAGCATCGGAATGGCCCCGTACGAAGCTCTATACGGTCAAAAGTGTAGAAGTCCCTTATGTTGGGGTGACATGGTCGATCGGGTGGTTCTAGGACCACAATACTTGCAAGATACTATTGAGAAAATCAAAGTCATCCAAGAAAGGATGAAGGCTGCCCAAGACCGACAGAAATCATATGCCGATCTTGGGAGAAAACCAGCTGAATTCGAATTGGGGGAGAAAGTTTTACTTAAAGTCTCTCCTACAAGGGGCGTAATGAGATTCGGGAAGAAAGGGAAACTAAGCCCGAGATTCATCGGACCCTACGACATCCTAGAGAAGGTGGGAAGAACGGCATATCGATTAGCTCTACCCACGGAGTTGGATAAGGTAACAACCGATTTGACATCAAATGCTTCTCTACAATTAGAATACATTCTTAACATAATGATATATGCTAGGTACACAACGTTTTCCATATTTCACAATTGAAGAAGTATGTTCACGACGAATCACATATCCTTAACCCTGAGGTACAAATTGTAACCTTACAATATTCAAAATCAAATTCAACATGTCTAACTTCGACTCATTAGGTGGTCGAATTGGACGAAACATTGACTTATGAGGAAAGGCCTATTCAGATCCTTGACACCAAAACTCGTGAGACTAGGAAGAAGACTATTAAGATGGTTAAGGTATTGTGGTCTAATCATTTGGCCAAAAACGCCACTTGGGAGACCGAAGATGACATGCAAAAACGATATCCGGAGTTATTTGACTAAGGTAATGTTTTGGTTACGGGGACATAACCTAATTTTAGAAGGGAAGAATGTAATACCTCTTAATTTTATTTGAGGGATATTCTATTTATTAGCTTATGCTTCGGGACGAAGCATCTTTTAAGGAGAGTAGAATGTGACACTCCGTAAATTTAATAAAAAAAAAATATTTAATACAAAGTAAGATGTGGTATCTGTTAAATGTATTTGTGGATATATTTTTCCTAGCTTATGTTTCGGGACGAAACATCTTTTAAGGAGGGTAGAATGTGATACCCTGAAAAATTTAAACAAAAATAAATTAAATAAATAAATAAATAAATAAAAAGGTAAAATAAAAGAAAAGAGAAAAAAAAATATTAGATAAAATATACATGACAAAGTGAATAAAAATAAATTAAAGTGTTACAAGTGACACTTTTGTAACAAGTGATAAGTACACATATGACAAATAATAAAAGTAACATTTTAACAATTTTAATTTAAAGATATTAATAATAACATATACAAAATATACAAAAGTGTTAAAGGAGTTGACTTGTCAACAACCCCAATATATATAGATATACATAGACGTGCATAACAATAAGCCCTATAAAAGACACGTATATATATATATATATATATATATATATATATATATATATATATATATATATATATATATATATATATATATATATATATATATATATATATATATATATATAATACACGTATGTAATATTAGTAACAATAATATACCCTATAAAAGACCTGCCATAACCATAAGCATACCAAAGGTATACATGTGTACACGTTAGTAGGATTACCAATAATAGATGCATGATTCGATGCATACCCACGAGGCCAAGGACGAAATGCTTAGCCTACCCACATGCGCATGTCAAAAATGAAGCCAAAAACACACAGCTCACTCACGTAGGCTAGGACCTTCCTCTTTGTGTATAAATATCAGCATTGAAAGTGATTCTCTACACACCCAAAACCTTCAGCCGAACTATATATATATATATGCAAACACACCCATATATATAAACCATTTTTTTTACACCGTGGAATACCCAATCACTAAAGCTAGAGGCCATATCAAAACCTCCGGCCAGTAAGATAGGAAGAGAACTAAGGTGACGGAGGTAGAAACGATTGTCAGAAGAGGGAGGGATAGCTAGCCGGAGTGATCGCCGGACCACCGCTCTACAACCTGGCCGGACTGAGACGTTAGCTGCCTCCGCCGTGTAACCCGTCCACCGTGAATAAGGTAAGCCGACGTCCTCTACGCTTTCTTCATTTCCGGCGACTAGCTTAGGTGTAGAAGACAACCCATTCGATGTGTTTTTACGGTTGGACCTTTGTTTACTTTTAATGATATACTTACACTAATGAGATTGAAATAATACGCATGGGTATATAATAATAACATCCCTAATAACAATGATAAGAATGAAATCTGCAAAATGTATAATAAAGTATGAGATGGTAAATTAAACGGTGAAATTAAATTGGTTAGATTTATAGTAATCACTTGGATAAATTTGCCACTTTTAGTTGAGATAATTACACAATGTGAATTCGTAAGATTAATAGATTTATTAAGAAGATATAAACAATAAACAAATTGATCATTATTTTGGATCTGTTATTTTCAGATTAGCTTAAATTAAGTGTTATTAGACTGATTTATGGGTAAATTAATGAAATTCGAATATTTTATAAGTACTGAATTAAAGTATTAGTAAAAGATTGAATTACTGGTAATTAGTACATGACACAAATCATATTAGTCAGATATGATATTTGATGATAAGTAATAAGGACGAATTGAAATAGTAATAAATGGCTGATTAAAAGTGATTAAGCTACTACTAAGTAATAAATGATTATAAATTCGAATAATTGAAGTGATACATTATAAAATAAGAAATCATTAAAGTATAATAAGGCTAGGAAATCGTGATAATATTACTGGATTAAAGTAGGTCAAATTAATGAGTAAAGATTCGGTTATCTTAATTGTATTAAACTAAATTAATAATAATACGTCAACACATTAAAGGTTGGTTAAACTGGTTACTGATTAATAAGTAAGGTGGATGTTAGATTAAGAAATAAAGTGGTAAGATTAGTAAAAGTGACTAATTGATAATTAAGGAATAAATAACTAATAAAAATTCGAATGAAAATAAAAAGGGGAAATCGGAACGATAATTAAGTATAGAATAAATGACTAATTCTATCATCTTAATTAAAAAGGTGATTTCTAGGGACCGGAATAGAGGAAGAGAAATAGGAGCATTGGATTCGAGGTAAGTCACATTGCAACCAAAATGCATTTTTACCTCGTATATATTGTATGTATGAGATATGAAATTTGTACTATCTGATTATTTGTTGAGCAATTTATGAATATGTGATGCTTTGTTGAATGTTGAATAACTTTGGGGAAATTACGTGTGTAGTAATCCCTGAATTTTTGGAAAATAATAAAGATAAAATGAACCTTTCAATGTAAGGGCATCACGGGAGAAATCCGGGATGTCGGTGTTCTCCACGACCTTGACTGTGGAGAGTGATTAGGACTGCTATTACTTGTTGGGATTTGGTGTCCACGACCTTGACTGTGGAGATTGGTTAAAGTGGTTGTTTTATTGAAATTCAAATTCGGGCAAAAGACCCTGTTATTCAGTAGTAGCAGTAACCTAGTCACTTATATAGGGTAATCCCTTTTTGGTGGAGTAGGGGGACGTTGACGTCCGAACTACTTGGACTTTTTACTACTCGGAGGGCTTGGAATCCCTTTTTGAGGGTGTGCACACTTAAGGTAGAGGTTCAGTTTCCTCAGGTTAGAAGTGGTACCGGCAAAAGTCCCGGGGTGGCCGTACATAACAACGGACCATCGGGCTCAATTTAATGTTGAGCACCGCCCTTCAAATGTATTAGGAGGTTGGTACAACTATATTTTAAAACATTACTAAAAGAAAATATTTTATTTAATGAAAGTGAGGATCATCCATTTTTGAAAGAGGTATACCATGAACTTTATCTCTTAAACTATTTTTTTTGTATATATGGTATACAAATTATTATTTTCACCAAACCTATTATTTTACGGGGTTGGGTGGGACTTACTTAGCTCTAAAGCTAATTTTTGTGTTATTTGTTTCTTTTCTTTCTCTATAATTACAGATGATATTGCTTTGGATGATGTGCTTGGTTAGAGACTTGAGAGCGTCCATTAGAAGATACTCTAGCAAGACTTTTATTTAAATTTAAGAACATCACTCTGGATCACTTTTGTTATTTTTACGTCGCACGTGTTATTAAGTACATTGGTTTTATTTGCCTGTGCACTTAGCCATGTTTTGCTAAGTGTGGCGGTAACACTCTAAATTTTCATTGTTAAAGACTTCCGCTGAAATTGTCTTAATAAAGTTATCATTTTATTATAAAATTTCCAAGCTATTTGGGTGGGAAAATTTGGGGTGTTACAAGTTCACCACCACCACCCACCACCCCTCAACTGCAACCTACCCTCCCCCAACCCCCTCGCTTGCACCATCCCTACCCCCATTGGCCCCAATACCCTAGATATCACTTCCCCATAGCCCCTGCCCAGGCCTTCCATCCAGCCCCCCTCAAGGACCTCAACCACTCCCCCCCTGCACTAACCACGCCCAAGTTCGCAGCCCCCCTGCAACATCCCTTTGCCGCTCGATCGACATTATATTGTTTCACATCCCACATTGTCGAAACCAGATTAGCCACCAAAACTGACACCAGATTAGCCGCCAAATTCGAAGCCAGGTTAGCCACAAAAATTGACGCCAAATTAGCCACTGAGTCGCCGTGAGTTCTATCTCAAGGCTCAAAGTCGCCATCGCCGGATCTGCACAGTTCCCATTGCCCATTGCAACATGCGTCCTTGTTGTTTGCAAACCGTCGCCGACGGATTTGCGTAGCCACTGGTTTAGAAGCTCGTTTTCGTCGTAGATGCAGAAATTCAGGAGGAGAAACTCCGATCAGTGGTTGCGGTGGTTGAATGGTGGTGGCGGCGGAACGGGTGTGGCAGTCGAAGGTGAGAATAGAGGTATCATGCGCTGGTAGTTTGGAAGGATGAGAAGGATATATAAGACCATTTGTAGTGGTTGGGAGGCCAAAAAGTTAAAAATGAACTCCGCCCATATGAAAATAGTGTTTAGACTCCTATTTTATGCATCCCAACACCGTTAATAAATACCCTCAACATATTTTTTCACATATCAATTTAATAAAACATTAATAAAAAATATTATAAGTTATGTTTTCAATTTAATTTTTCCCTAAATAAATATGAAATAAAAAATACATATTTTGATGTAAAAAAAAATAAATTCCATTAAAAAAAATTGTTACTCTTCATTACAAGGATATGATGTGGAGAGTTTAGGTTTACAAAAGATAACTAATTTTAAGTTAGACAAAAAAGTGATCGATCTTTCTCCTCCCCATTTCCCCAACCCGTCGATTCGCCCAACTCTGCGCCCTTCTCTCTGCTTCCTTCACGATCAATTTCTGCCCGCCCTGACTCAACTCGCCGCACCTCGCCGCGTCGCGCTTCTTCGCCACGCCTCACCTCGCCACGTTTCTCCGCCTCGCCGCCGTGCCTCTGCTCCGATATCATCTTCTTCTCTTTCGTCTGCATGGAATCCACATATATGGGTCTTGGACTCTGCAAACCTGACTTTCTTCTGTCCGGAATCCGCAGATCTGATGGCGTGCTTGTAGTGTGTTAGACTACGGGTTGTAGGAGGTCAGAAAAGAAAGTGCAGGGCTGTGGGATTGGGGGGTTGTGCGAGTGGTGGAGGCCAATAGGTGATTGTACAAGTATTGGTCGGGGTGGGGGCTGCTGTGAGGGGTGGGGGCTACTGTGGGGTGGGGGATGCTGGTTGGGAGCTGGGGTGACGCAGGGGAGGGGTTGGGGTTTGGTGGTCATAACTGGTGGTCGCCGGCGATGGCCAGAGGTGGTGGTGTATTGGCCAGACAGTGGGCTGGAGGCAGAACATGTGCGCTGGGGAGGTGGTGCTTAGGGAAAAGGGTGGTTGCATTTATGGATTTGTGGGGTGGTGATGGGGCACGTGGTGGGCTGTGGTGGACTGTGATGGGATGGTGGGATAGTGAACGGCGAGATTGGCTGCTTGGGCTAGATAGCGGGACTGCCGTAGTAGTTGTTGTTGGCAGTGTGGCGTTGGATAAGGAGCCAAAAAATTTTCCGACGGTCATAGTGATAGGCCGGTGGTTGCCGCCGGAGTAACTTTTGGCGGGTGGTGTCACTGAAAATCGGTGTCACTGGGCAATGATAGTGTCACTGTCGTGTCACTATGGTCGTTGTCACTATGGTCGGCGATGGTCTCCAGCGGCGGCGGTCACCGGTGGGAGGTGGTGGCAAGGAGGGTGAATGTCACTGTAGCGTGTCACTATAGTAGTGTGTATATAAGCAAGCTTATCACTTACTACTACTAGTCATATTCCAGGAATTTTTTTAAAAAGTCACTTTTTTGCCTATTGCCCTTTTATTAGTAATATTCAAGACAAAACCTCTTTATACTTTTTTCAATTTTAATA